CACATATTTATGACATTCCCAGTTATTTTCTTGTAGTTGATTTCTAGTTTCATAGTATTGCAGTCAGAAAAGTTGCTTGAGATGATTTCAGTCTTCTTAAATTTATTGAAGCTTGCTTTGTTACCCAAGATATGATCTATCTTTGAGATTAATACATGTGCACTTGAGAAGAATGCATATTCTGCTGGTTTTGGATGGAAAGCCCTCTATACATCTAAGTCCATCTTTTCAACTGTTTCGTTTAAATCCACTATCTCCTTTTTGACTTTCTGTCTGTCCATTGATATAAGTGAGGTGTTAAGGTCCCCTACTATTGTGTTGCTGTTAACTTCTCCCTCTAGGTCTGTTAAGAGTTGCTTTATGTACTTTGGTGCCCCTGTGTTAAGTGCATGTATATTCATAGGTGTTATGTCCTCTTGGTGGAATGTTCCTTTTATCATTATATCCTTCCCTTCTTTGTCTCTCCTTGTCTTTTTTATCTTGAAATCTGCTTTGTCTAAGTATGGTAACACCTGCTTTCTTTTGTTTACCATTTGCTGGGAGGATCATCTTCCATCCGTTTACTCTGGGCCTATGTCTCTCTTTAGAGCTGAGATGTGTTTCCTGAAGGCAGCATGCTGTTGGGTCTTGTTTTTTAATCCCTCCAGCTACACTGTGTCTTTTGATTGGCGACTTCAATCCATTTACATTTAGACTGATTATTGGTATATGATGGCTTCATACTGCCATTTTATCTCTTGTTTTTCCCTTGGTTCTATGTTGCTCTTGTTTCTCTTCCTTTGTATTTCTGAATGCCACTTCATTTCGGTGGTTTTTTGTGGAAGTTTTCTCTTTTTTTATGAATTGTGGCTCTGTTCTAATTTTTTGTTTAGTGGTTACTGTGAGGTTTGTATAAAAATTCTCATGGATGGGGACCAGCCCAGTGGCACGGTGGTTAAGTGCACATGTTCCACTTCAGTGGCCCAGGGTTCACCAGTTCAGATCCCAGGTGCAGACATGGCACTGCTTGGCATGCTATGCTGTGGTAGGCATCCCACATATAAAGTAGAGGAAGATGGTCACGGATGTTAGCTCAGGGCCAGTCTTCCTCAGCAAAAAGAGAAAGATTGGCAGCAGTTAGCTCAGGGCTAATCTTCCTCGAAAAGAAAAAGTTCTCATGGACAAGATAGTCCATTTCCTCATAGCCTCTTATCTCCATTAGCCTAAGCAGGGCCCATCCCTTTCCTGTTCCCCTTCAGAGTTATTGTTGTCACAAGTTGTTCTGTTTTGTGTTGTGAGTTTGTGACTAAGTTGAAGTGTTTGTAGTTACTTTTGATGCTTTCCTTCCGTTTGTCTTTTAAGTTATAATTGAGTGTTTGCTTTCCTGTTCTGATAGGGAGCTGCGATGTTCTTATTTTGTCTGTCTGTCTATCTCCTTGCTCAAAGTTTTGTAGACCTTTTCCTTTTGTTTCCAATATGAGGGTATCTTTAATCATTTAATAATGTAATAATTTTCTTGCAGGGGAGGTGTAGTGGTGATGAGCTCCCTCAGCTTTTGTTTATCTGAGAAAGCTTTTACTTCTCCACTGTATCTGAAGGATAGTTTTGTTGGATAGAGTATTTTTTGCTGAAAGTTTTGTCTTTCAGCATTTTGAATATATCATTCCATTCTCTCCTAGCCTGTAAGGTTTCTGCCAAGAAATCACTTGACAGCCTGATAGGGATTCCTTTATAGGTTATTTTCTTCTGCCTTGAAGCCCTTAATATTTTTTTCTTTGTCATTGACTTTGCCAGTTTTACTATTATATGCCTTGGAGAAGCTCTTTTAGTGTTGATGTGATTAGACCTTCTATTAGCTTTATGTATTTGTAAATCTGGTTCCTTCCTCAGGTTTGGGAAGTTCTCCACTATTATTTCTTTGCATAAGCTCCCTGCTCTTTTCTCTTTCTCTTCTTCCTCTGGGATATCTATAATCCTTATGTTGCTTTTCCTAATTGAGTCAAATATTTCTTGAAGAATTCCTTCATTTTTTAAAAAATCTTAGTTCTCGCTCCTGCTCCACCTGTAACATTTCTATATTTCAATCTTCTAAATCACTAATTCTTTCCTCTATATCATCAGCTCCATTTTTTTAAAAGATTCTAGATTATTTTTTATTTCATTAATTGTGTTTTTCATATCCAGAATTTCTGCTTGGATTTTTTAATAGTTTCAATCTCTTTGGTGAAGTATTCTTTCTTCTCATTAATTTTCTTCCTGAATTCATTGAACTATCTTTCTGACTTTTCTTGTGACTCATTGAGTTTCTTTGTGACAGCTATTTTGAATTTTCTTTCATTTAGATCGTGAATTTCTGCGCCTTCAGGGTTGGTTTCTGCAGAATTGTCATTTTCCTTCTGGTATGAATCATTTTTGAAGTTTCTCATGGTGTTTGATGAGCTAATCTTTTGTGAGTGCATTTGTAGTAATATCATGTCACAGATTCCACCAGCCACCACTGGGGAGAAGCTGGAGCTGAGTTTCTGACCTCATCCCATCTTCTGGAAGTTGTGGGGGTACTATGGGTGCTTTCACTGGCCTGGAGAGTGTTGGAGCATGTGTGTAGTTAGACTGTGCTTGGTGGGCAGGGCTTCCTCACAGGGACTGAGCCAGGGTCACTCCTTACAGCTGCAGTGGTACAGTGGGCTCCTCACCACCACCATAAAAGTGATTATGAGTGGGCTAAGGCTGTTGCCACCTCTTCCTACAGTCACCGCAGGGTGCATTCCCACTTTCAGGCTGCAGTAGTACTATGGGTGCTCACGTGGGCTGGGAATGTGCTCACCCCAATGCCTAGATCTGCCACCACTTCTTCTTACAGTATCACTGGGTGCTGTGCTTGGTGGGCATCGTTTCCTTGTGGTGACTGAGCTGGGGCCACTCCTTGGGGATGCAGTGGTGTGGCATGCCCCTCCACTGCCAGGAAAGTGATCACAAGTGCATTAAGTGCTGCTGCTGCCTCTTCCTACAGTCAACCCCATGCATATTTCCACTTTTGGGGCACAGCAGTACTAGGGGTGCTCTTGCCAGGCTGGGAAGCATTCATTCTCATGCACAGGGCTGCCAGGAAAGGGCAGGGAGTGCTCACCTATCTCCACCACTTTCCGGAGGGCAAATCAATCCACCTTCAGATGTACAGCTGTGTGGGTCTCTCAGACATCCTGTTGTGCTGTGTGAGTTTCCAACATTGATCAAGGAATGTCAATTGAGTTGCAGTTCAAAGAGGGAGAGGTAAAGGGAACAGCTCATTCTACCATGTTGCTGACATCACTCAGACTTAAATAATTTAAAAAAATAAAATAAAATACTGTATAACTGAAATTTTCACAATGTTATAAACTAATGTGACCTCAATAAAATAATTTAAAAAAATTGTGAGGGCCAGCCCCCATGGCCTAGTGGTTAAGTTCAATGCTCTCTGCTTTGGCAGTCCCAGTTTGCTTCCCCGGTATGTACCTACACCATATGTCAGTGGCCATGCTGTGGCAGTGGCTCACATACAAAAAGAGGAAGATTGGTAACAGATGTTAGCTCAGGGAAAAGGAATGTTGGCAATAGACGTTAGCTCAGAGTGAATCTTCCTCAGGAAAAAAAATATATATATAGATATACATATAATATTGTAAGACTTTAGAGTCTGCCGAGTAAAAGGAACATTATGCCCACCCAAGGCAAGATTGATAACCACATACTGTTATAAATATGCAAGAACTCAGTGAATATTGTCCCTATGCATCTTTCTTAAGGGATCTACTAGAGAATAAGCTTCAGAAAGCCAACCATACTGTAGAGACTTTGACATAAAGTCTGGAGAAGTATTCTAGCCAATAAAGAAAGAAGGGTGATAGATTCGGAACGTCACCATTTTGCAACCTCTAATGAATGAGCGCATCTAGGAAGTGAACCTCGGTAGACGATATCATAAAAGAGAACATTAGTGCTTCCTCAAGAAAGTCCTGAACATCACCTGCTCAAAATGATCAAACTTGAATCTGACCAAAATTGTAACACTAGCTACCAAATTGAAGAGAACACAAAGGACAGAGATGTTAACCACACCACACAAATACAATCACCAAAATCAAAACAATGGGTAATATTCAAGACGGAAAAGAAAGGGAAGAAGAATCCATAGTGTAAAAGAGACCTTATGATACGTATCCAATAATCATCATGTGTGGGCCTTGTTTGGATTGTGTTTCAAATAAACTGTAAAAAAATTTAGGATAGTCAGGAAAATATGAACACTGAGTATTTGATAAAACATTAAGAAATTATTTTTATTTGTAAGTGTAATAATGGTATTGTGTTTATGTTTGTAAATTATTTTTAATAAAATATTTACAGATGAAATAATATAATGCCTGGGTTTTGCTTTAAAATAATCTGGTGACAGGGAGTAAGTAGAAATATAAATGAAAAAAGGTTGACAATGTATTAATAATTACTTAATCTGGGTGAACACTATTGTGTTTTTAATACAATATTTTTTCTCCTTTGGTATATGTTTAAAATTTTCAAGAAGTCTTTAAAAAGACATCTGGAGGGTTTACAAGCACATCCACTGTAGTACTCTACCAGTACATCATTGTAGTACTTGCATTGTGATCATGCCCTAGGAGCTATACATCTCTCAATACTGTTGAGCACATAGAGGAACTGACAAGAAAGAGTGTATGTAGATTTTCAAAGCAGCAAATCCTTTCTATACCTGCGTTTGTAACATATCTCATCTTACCCTTCATATTGCAATTCAATGGACGACTTTAGTGAAGACTAAAATTACAATGACTTCTCAAAGTGAACATTTAACAATAAGGGTACTCTTAAACAGTTAACTTTGAGCCTTAAATTATAAGCCACTAAGGTAATTGTTTCTTGTGTGTGCTTGCATGGTGGCTTACAGAAAAGAAAAACAACGCTGATGTTTGAATTATAAATTATCACTCACCTCTTTCTTATTCTCCATGTTTTCTTTCTAGATATTTCCACACAATATACTTAGGTATTCGAAGTCGACAGAGTGGGGAGAATGACAGATGGAGGTTTTACTGGAAAATGGTGTATGAGTATGCAGATGTGAGTATGCTGCATTTGCTAGCCACCTTTCTGGAAAGTGCTCCACAGCTGGTCCTGCAGCTCTGCATTATCGTACAGACTCATAGCTTACAGGCCCTCCAAGGTAAGGGCTTGCAATTTGGTTTCTGAATTTGGGGAAAGATTGACTGGCTATCCAAGGAACTGTTCTAATGCCCTTTGTTGATGCAGGCCGCCGTGCTCCCTGTTATATGTCTGCTGTTTGACATGTGAATTTGCGAATGATTCATATTTTCTTCTTCACCATCAGTTGTCATGGCTAACTTGTAGAAAGACAATTCTGTTTTGCCTTCAATCTGCCCTCTGAGTATGAAAAAATTCTTTATGATTTTACTCTTGGTCAATATGAAAAGAGATTCAACTGAGGTTTTCCAGTTTATATGATAGAGCAATTTTCAAAAATTTGAAAAAACGCAATAGCTCTCTCTGTGAAATTATATATATTTTTTAATATTAGGGTAATCTTTACCACTTCCTTTTGACATTAAGAAACAGAGAGAGATTAAAAGGAAATGGTAAGGATTACCTTAATATTTAACAAAAAGATGGTCATATGGAAAAAATGTCAATATATAACAATATATTGTTTATATACTGTTTTATAAAATTATTATGATGATCAGGTTAATATTTTTGTGTTTTGGTTTTTTTGTTTGATAATCTCATCACTTAGACTATTCCAGTTATAACAGATCTGCCAGATGTTTCCTTAGGGCCTGCTGCTCAAACCATTTCTAGAAGCAGGAAGATTAGACAGATCAGTGGGTAGACAGGTGAATAAATGGTTGGATGGATGATGGATAGGTATTCATTTTCTAAATAGAGAGTTTCCTGGAATTTGTTAATCTTATAACTAAATAGACGTTGTTAAATGGTCAACGTATTGTAATGTGCTCCTTTTGTTTCATTCTCAGCAGAGTCTTGCTGTGACTTCCTCTATGTACCCACAAGTTACTGTCATGTTCTGGGCCATGCTCTCACTTGAGACTTGATCTCGTTGGTCTGGGGAATCTCTACAATGTCCTTACAAATTTCTATAACGAGGAGCACACTAGCTTAGGCTGAGTGCTTTAACTGGGGGGAGAGGGGGTATATTATGGAAAAGAAAGATGGAGGGTGCACTGGTAGCCAGTGACTTGTTTATTTATGAATTCCTAGCCCAACCCTGACTCCACACTAGAACAGCTTTGGGCCAAGAGGTTTGAGAAAAGGGTCAAAGAGATCCATGTGGTGTGATTCTCAACTGCTAGAAAGCAAACTGGAAGAAAGAGGAAGTGGGATGTTAGCACAGAAACAGAAGAGAAAAGCTTGCAGAAGACAATGCATAAAAATTAGCTGTGGATGACTGCGTTTAGTAGTGAAAGACCACAAGCTGCACACAGAGGTTCTGGCTTTGGTTATCTCACTACCTTGATCTGAGACCTTGTGCAAGTCACTTACTCTCTCTAGATCTTGATTTCTCAACTGTAAAGGTCACAAACTAAACTAGATGATCTCCAAACTCTTTGACAGCTCTATTCCATTTTTGCATCAATGAATGCCCAGTAAGCTTATAGGGCCAGGTGTATAAGTTAGGAAACGGTCTGTAAATAAGGATATAAATGAAATTAAAAGGTAACATCAAACTAAATCTCTGTCTAAAGATCTAGTACTATTCTCTAGAACAACTTGACAACTCCTTAGTACAGTCACACAGCTGGGAACCGTCTAGAAAAGGGAAACCCAAGCACAAAGATGGACGGTTGCAAGCCACCTTCCTGTGGTCTGAGATTACTAAGAGTCTCTACTAGTTTTCTAAAAGATTTAGAAAGTCATAGAGAAGTTTTTATCCTAAAGATAATGGAGAAAGAGGAGGAAAGGCAAGAGAGGGTCTAAGAAAATGACATCACCTTTTCAGGTGGAGAGGTTTATGTAGAGTTTAATGGAAAAAAAAGAGAGAGAGAAAAGGCAATACTTAGTCTTTATCAAGTTATTCATCCTCAACATAGGAATCAGAATTTGTGTTTTTTAGAGTTGTTGCTCTTCCGTGACACCTGGTGTCCCCACTTTATCTGCTAAGCTCAACACATTTACATGAGGTTTACTTCAGACTTTGGGAGCCACACCTTGTTGTTGGCCAAGGCAAAACTTGCTGTCAAAATCAGAAAGCCAGAGGGAAAATATGTTCTGTATTACTCCTAAATTCGTCAAAAGACAGATTGATCCAAAGATCACTACAATCAGTGCAAGCCTTTGAGCGCAAGATGAGCAATAAAACTGCTAGGTTGATCTTTTTTTTTAATTGAAATATAATTGACATACAATATACTATTAGTTTCAGGTGTACATCATAGTGATTCAATATTTGTACGTATTATGAAATGATCACCAGAATGTCTAGTTATCATCTATCACCATACAAAGTTAGTATGATGTTATTGACTATATTCCCTATGCTGTACATTACATCCCATAACTTATTAATTTTATACCTGGAAGTTTGTACCTCTTGATCCCCTCACCTATTTTGCCCGCCCCCAAACCCTTCCCTCCTCTGGTAACCACCAATTTTTTTCCTATATCTATGAGTCCGTTTCTGCTTTATTTCATTTGTTTGTTTGTTTTGATTTTTAGTTTACACATGTGAGTGAAGTCATACAGTATTTGTCTTTCTCTGTCTGACTCATTGCACTTATAATACCCTCTACAGTCCATCTATGTTGCCACAAATGGCAAGGTGTCATTCTTTTTTATGGTTGAGTAATATTCCACTGTATATATACACCACATCTTCTTTATCCATTCACCTACCAATGCACACTTAGGTTGATTCCATATCTTGGCTATTGTAAATAATGCTGCAATGAAAGTAGAGGTGCATATATCACTTTGAATTAGTGTTTTCATTTTCTTTGGATAAATACCCAGAAGTAGAACTGCCGGATTATATGGTAGTTTTATTTTTAATTTTTTGGGCAACCTCCATACTATTTTCCATGGTGGCTGCACCAGTTTACATTCCCACCAACAGCGCACGAGGGTTCCCTTGCTCCACATCCTCACTACCACTGGTTATTTTTTGCCTTTTTGATAATAGCCATTCTGATAGATGTGAGATGGCTTCTCATTGCGGTTTTGATTTGCGTTTTCCCTGATGATTTGTGATGTTGAGCATCTTTTCACGTGCCTGTTGGCCATCTGTATATCTTCTTTAGAAAAATGTCTATTTAAGTCCTCTGTCCATTTTTTAATCGAGTTGTTTGTTTTTGTGATATTGAGTTGTATAAGTTCCTTAAATATTTTGGACATTAACCCCTTATTGAATGTATGATTTGTAAATATCTTCTCCCATTCAGTAGGTTGCCTTTTTGTTTTATTGATGGTTTCCTTCACTGTTCAAAAGCTTTTTGGTTTGGTGTATGTCCCATTTGTTTATTTTTGCTTTTGTTGCCCTTGCCTAAGGAGCCTGGGGAAAAAAATATTGCTAAGACTGATGTCAAAGAGCTGGCTGCCTATGTTTTCTTCTAGGAGTTTCATGGTTTCAGGTCTTACATTCAGGTCTTTAATCCATTTTGAATTTATTTTTGTATATGGTGTAAGATAGCGGTCCAGTTTCATTCTTTTGCACATAACGGTGAATTTTCCCCAACATCAATTATTAAAGAGATTGTCTTTTCCCTACTGTATACTCTTGCCTCCTTTCTCGAAGATTAATTGACCGTGTATGCATGGGTTTATTTCTGGGCCCTCTATTCTGTTCCATTGATCTATATGTCTGTTTTTGTGTCAGTACCATACTGTTTTGACTACTACAGCTTTGTAGCATAGTTTCAAATCAGGGAACATGATGGCTTCAGCTTTGTTCTTCTATCTTTAGATTACTTTGGCTATTGGGGGGTCTTTTGTGGTTCCATACAAATTTGAGCATTCTTTGTTCTAGTTGTGTGAAAAATGCCATTGGTATTTTGATGGGGATTGCATTGAATCTGTAGATTGCTTTGGGTAGTGTGGATATTTTAACAATATTAATTCTTCCAATCCATGAACACAGTATCTCTTTCCATTTATTTGTGTCATCTTCAGTTTCTTTCATCAATGTTTTATAGATTTCAGAGTCCAGGTCTTTCACCTCCTTGGTTAAATTTATTCTTAGTTATTTTATTCTTTTTGACACAATTATAAATGACATTGTTCTTATTGTTGCCATTTTTTAACAAGGGAGGTGGGCGGAAGGTTGTGTTGAAAGACCAAAGAGTGGAAGTACCTGACAGTAGTCAACAACAGCAACAAAACCTCCAGCAAATAAAGATCAGCTCAGACAACCCTGTCTAAATCCTTTTGCATTTTGAAGAGAAACCTACTTCAGAGACAGCTTCTACATACAATCCCCTGCTGACAGATGATCCCACTTACAAATGAACCAGCTTATAAATTAAATTCATGTGAATTACAAGAACAGAGCTTTTCTGCTCTAGCAAAAGAAAAATAAATGTGATAAAGAAACCTAGTTTGACATATATTTCTACATATTTATGGTAAAATATTCTTAGGATTTATATTTAAAAATGCAAGTTTCTGCTATGAATGTACATAATCAACGTGCAGGAAACCTGTGAAGCATTTGCAAATAGCTCTGAATTAAAATCTTTAAAATATTCTTATTTAGCAGGTAGAGAGTGGTCCTAAGTTTGCAAGTCATTTCCATATGGGACTATGTCTAAAATTACTATTTTTTTAGGATAGAAAGAAAATTGCTTTTTTAACCGAATTTCAACCATCTATTACTCTCTGAAGGACATTCTTTTAAAAACAATAAGAAAATCAGACAAGAAATATGACATTTTAAAATATTTAAAACTAAAAATTGTGTTCTCCTTATGGAAGTTGGTGTAGCCCTAAAACACCAATAGCTGTGAAAATCCTTTCTCAACTCTGCTTTCTTAGTGAATAATTAAGTCAGAGATACCTCACTGTGCTGCAGGCTGACAGGCCCAATGGAGAACTGTTTAAGCAGAACCTAAGTGTTTCTCAGTCTGTACTGTCCCCAGAAGGACAGTTTGGCTCCTGTTCTGAGACCAGGAATCAGAGCAGAGTGGAAACCTAAAC